TCCCCTGGTTGAAAACTTCTATCCACAGCTTTTTTATCAAAACGAGCCTTCATTTTAGTTTGCACTTGCTTTAAGTTTTCCCTGGCTATTTTCCACGCTAGGCGAAGCCTATCTCGAAGCTGACTCACATAGTCAGGTACACTACACGACTCCTCCGGGGCCTCCGAACGCCATTTTTCCCTCAAAAGTCGGAGAGGGACGCTTTACGGGCATTATAGGACACTTTAATATCAAAAAAACTTGCTATAATAAGCAAATCCGCCTTTCTACAGAACTCTATCTTATCCCAGGAAGGCGAGGTAACAAAGTCATCTAAAGAAAACTCCATCCTCCCACACACACACACACCTCACCCTTCCCCACACACAACAGAAAAGCCGACCGAACAAACCACAGACCACAAAAACGAGACAAAAAGGACGAGCACGTAACACAAATGATTAAGAAACTAACACAAATGAAAGCTAAAAGGCTAAATCCGCCCCTCTGTTATTTCTTAACTTTTGACCATTCTGATTTTATCTGAATGCGTCACAAAGCTATCAGAGAAATCCAGAAACTGCTTGTTTTCCCGCTGAGATTTATGCACATACTTCCTGATTTAATGACAGAGCCAGGTGGTGAGAAGCGGCTCAGCTGCAGTAAATGCCAGCCTGGCTGTTTTTTTTTTTTACGGGGCACAGCTAAACCCAGCGCAGAGACCGAGCAGGCATATGTGCCTTTTGAAAATGTGGAATGATTTTTAAACTTCTCATTAAATTTCTTCTCAGCAGCTGCCTCACAAACTCTTCATATTGAGATAACGCAGAAACTTTTTCCTGCTATACATTGATTTTTGTCAACAAAGGCACCGTTCATAATAAAAGCCAGGAAAAAAAATCGCGGCACTGTTTGGTGATTGATTGCTCACTGTCACCGTCATCAATAATTTTGCGTCCACGCTCCGCTGAGCTTTCCCCGTCAGTTACAGAGAGAAGAAGAAAAATCCATGTCTATGAACTGAACACAGGCCAACAACGCTTGTGTCAAAGCTCAGACGTCCTCGGGTTAACACGTTATACGGTTATTAGCAGGACACCAGATGACACACACGAAGCATAAAGAAGACAATTTCTTCTGGTGGGCGGAGCCAGACATTTTCATCATGTTGCCACTGTTGGCTGTAAATAATAAGATATTTTAAATATAAAGTGTCTCAACAGATTAGAGTGCTTTAGGGGAACTTCTGGGGTCTCGTCTCTGTCACACTGCATGAATTAGGTTAATTATTCTGTTACCTTCAGGCTGCCTGTTCTGACTCTGAAACAGGATTTGTTGTGGTTGCTCACAGATCGTTGGCTTCCTCTTCATATATTTCTTGCTGATTTTCTATCTTATGATATAAAATACACTGATGTTATTGTTGTTGTGAGTGTAGACAACACTAATTAAGACGAATGCATGCTGAGGACAGAGTATGAAATATGGGGCAGATAGAGCAACCATGTAGCTCTTTATAGTTTGGCTACTGAGCTGTAAAATGCAATTTGCTCACTGGGCTGTGATTGATTTGACGTTTCTGACACTCC